GGTATACTTTAAATGGATGACTTGTATGGCATGTGGATTACATGTTAATGAGGCTGTTAAAATAAAAAGATGCCACGACACAGTCCCATATGCAGAACTCAGCCCATCAGCCCATCAGCCCAACTCTCAGCTCCAAGAGGACAGGGATTCCTGTTTCCCACTGGCACAGTCCTATGGCCTAGCCTGTTACTTGGAGTGTAACAGACACAGTGAATGCTAGTTTTACTAAATCAATGCAACTGTGTTAAACACCAGTCTTGTACACAGTTTATGAGAAAAGAGGAACTGCAGCAGAACCTAAGTGCACTAAGGTTTTTTGAAAGAAGAATATCATAGGCCATGAATAAGTTGCAGGTCTCTATCATTAGGAGGGTAACTGCCTTCAAATGAAGAAAGAGAGTGATTGAGTAATTATAGCTTTCAAACTGTACCCATTTCAGATGATAGGGATCATCTTACTATGTGGCAGAGTTGGGAAATGAGCCGTTATGCTTAATAGAGAGTTAGTATCACTTTTAAGAATTAGACAAACACTGAGGAGCAGTTAAGGATTGGTGACATACACTCACAAAATTAATACTTCATTTATGATTCTAGACGGTACCCTGCAGCACTTCCAGCATACACCACTCATGCTGTCCAGACACCGAGTTGCTGGCTAATCAAGAGCTTGCATCTTAGACAGGCTTTATTGTCCACCTTCAGTAGAGGTGGTTGTGTCTTTAGAAGACTGTGTGGTGTTGGTATTCTAGCACTTGCTCTCAGAGTTCTTTCAGGATTGTTTCAGGAATGGGTTTGGTGCACACTATGGTAGGGCCATGCACAAGGGTGATAGCAGCTGGCACAGTGATCAGTTGAGCTCCATTCTAGAACCCTTGGCCAAGTTGGCCATCCCCTGTATCTGGACTTAGAATTTTGCATCCATGTTGCCTGTTAAAAGTAAGGCTGAGCCCAAAACTTGAACTGAAAATGCTCAGAGGTAGGGAAAGTATATTGGCCCATCATTTTTATCTTCAGCATAACATTCAGACTTCTTCTCATTGCATTCTAGCCTTGTGAAATAGACAGAGAAAAGTGAGGTTAGTGCAGAGACGGTCTTTGTGAACCAGGAAAGTTCACCTGCCTTCATAGCTTGTTCTGAGGTCAGGGAATTCTCTCTTCAAATGGAGATAAAATAGAGAAGCTTCCAGAATGTCACCTAAATGCAGATTTAAAAAAAAAAAAGTTCAGATCATAAGAATCATTAAAACCTAATGAATAAATATTCATTAACTTACCCTTCCACACCCAGCTCAAATACCACCCACCCACCCCTGCCTTGGGGCTTTGTGTCCATACTCTTCCCAAAGTTAGACCAAGTTAGTTGAGCTGTCCTTAAATACTCCCAAAGCAGTTGGCTCATGCCCCTGAAACAGCACGTGCCCAGTTATGTTCTAATTCATTGTGTTCACGTCTGTCTTCCTGCCTGGATGCTGACGTTCTGCGAGAGAACAATTCACCTACTATCTCAGCACCTGGCTTGTGTGGGCTGGTCTGTAGGAGACACTTAATATATGTCTGTGGATGAATGAGTAATAGGAGAGCTCATTAAATTTCATCTTTCACACTGGGCAAGAAGAAGACACATCATACTGAAGTATTTCCAATATTTCAACTTCCTTTTTATGATTTAGAATAAGGTATTGAGGGCACAATGGATTATTTTTTTAATTGTCACCCTTGATCTCTTCACCTACCCTCCCTCCCTTTCAGTCTCATGAAAATATTTGTCTTAATTTTCTTCAATTCAGAGTCTTTCTGAAGAACTCCCTTCTCTTCTTTCCAGGCAGGTATAAATGAAAATGACTTTTATGATGGGGCATGGTGCGCAGGAAGGAACGACCTTCATCAGTGGATTGAAGTGGATGCCAGGCGGCTGACCAAATTCACTGGTGTCATCACGCAAGGAAGGAACTCGCTGTGGCTGTAAGCATGGTTGGATGTGTGCTTTACTAGACCCTGTGTCTTTGGTCTATGGTTCCAGGGGTTTTTAAAGTTGCAGAGAAGTGTCTGGTAATAGGCAGTGTTGCTGTTTGGTGCGTTCCAGTCAGCTCTGACTCATGGTTACCTACATACAACAGAACAAAGCACTGCCAGGTCTTGCGCCATCCACACAATCCTTGCTGTGCTTGAACTCATCATTGCAGCCAGTGTGTCAACCCATCTCATTGAAGGTCTTCCCCTTTTCACTGACCCTCTACTTTACCAAGCATGATATCCTTCTCCAGGGACTGGTCCTTTCTGAGAATATGACCAAAGTCTGGCCATTCTTGCTTCTACAGAGCATTCCAGCTGCCCTCCATCCAGGACAGATTTGTTCGTTCTCTGACAGTGCATGGTATTTTCAGTATTCTTTGCCAACACCACAACTCAAAGGCATCAACTCTTCTTTGGTCTTCCTTAATAGGTAATAGAAGGGAGAAAACTGGAATGTGGGCATGAGATTGGGCTTGCTGTAGACACAGGTCTCACTTGGCAGGTTCATATATTGGAAGAACACCCTACTCCTGTATTAACCAGAAAAAGGATCCACTAGGCAGGTTAAACAGAATAAACAGAAAAGCAGTCAGAACAACGCAATGTAAGCAAATGCTGCCATCTTGGCTCCATACTTTTTGGTGAGAGAGTAGGTGTCCTGACTGGTGGATTGACATAGCCAGAGAGGATGAAGTGTGGACAAGCAGTGAGCACTAGGCAAGGATTTTGGCAAGGAACAGGGCCCAAGCCATAGTCCTGGGCTATAAAATAGGAATCTCCCAGACTCTGAAGAAGGACTGAAACCCTAGCCAGGTACCCTTGAGAAGGGGAGCCAAAGTGAGGGATAACCCAGTCTGCAGAAGCCCATTTCTTAGAACAGAGGTTGGTCAGGGCTGGGTCAGTAATAAAAACAAACAAACAAACAAACAAAAAACCCTGCTGCCATCGAGTCAGGTCTGACTCATAGTGATCCCTCCTTGGGTTTCCAAGGCGATATCACTACAGAAGTAGATTGCCCAACCTTCCTTCCAGGGAGTGGCTGGTGGGTTTGAACCACTAGCCTTCTGGTTAACGGTCATATTGTTGTTGTTGTTGTTGTTGTTGTTTGCCGTAAAGTCGGCCCCGACTCATAGCGACCCCTCCTTGGGTTTCCGAGGCAGTATCACTATGGAAGTAGGATTGCCCAACCTTCCTTCCGAGGAGTGGCTGGGCGGTTTGAACTGCCAGCCTTCCAGCCTTCTGGTGAGCAGTCAAGTGCCTTAGGCACTATGCTACCAGAGCTCCTAACAGTCAGATTAGGGTCAGTAATAAGCATGATTTAATGACAATCCTAAGAGAGGTGGGCTATTGTCCCTGAAACTCTCTAGCCCTGCCCAGGGCTGCATTTCTGGGCTCTCCATGTAGTTCCGGCCATGTGGACAGCAGCCTTGAAGAGATTAGGGGCTAGGTAGGGCCTGAGGACAGCAGGGTCTTGGGCACTTTCTGCACATCACCTGGAAACTGGAAATTCCTCTGATGTCTTCTCCGTTGAGAAGGCCAACAGCACAAGTGACCCAGCTCTTCTATGCTAGGCGATGACTGCTATGCTGATTGGCTAAGAGCCCTGGTGCCTGCCCCACCTCACGTCTATACCACCCTCTGGAATTCTAGTTCTTCATGTCTCTCAATCTTTACTCTTTACCCACTGGCAGTTGTGAAAATATGACTGTAATTTGCTAGTTAGATTAATTTAATTTCTGGAAAGGTCAGAATTAATAAACTGGGACAGAAAGTGAATCTAGCCTCTGGGCCAACATTTAACTGCCTGACGCTGTCACTGTTACGGAGGCTTATTACGTAGTGGCAGTTGTCAGCCAGTGACTCAACATCTCTTGTTTTCCTCTGAATTTTATTTATTGTGATGACGATATTATAACATCTAAGAACCTTTTAAAACAGGATCCATAATTCCACTGCCCTTATGCAGATAGGTTTATTTTTACATTTGCAATCATGTTACATATGCAATTGTATGTTATGTTAACTCTAAAAATACATCTGCAACGTTTTCCATGCTGTTTCTCAAAGTTCATAAGGATCGTTTTGAACAGACTGTCACTTCCTTGGTCATACCCCTAGTACCATACCAATCTTCTATCCCATATCATATTGCAAAAACATATTTTCACATCTTTTTTCTTCATGTGAATTATCTCCTTCAACTAAATCCCCAAGCGAGGATAAGCTGCATTTTGACAACCTTTCAGATGTGTATTGGTGCTGTTTTGTGGATCATATTTTGTCCCTCTGCTTTTCAGAAGCACTTCTGGACATGTTCACATAGGTTGATTTCTGCTCTGGGGTGGTCGGTACCATCACTTAACACCGTGACGATTGCTTTCACTGCTTAAGTACTGAAGGGCAGGAATGCTGGAAAGAAAAGTTGGGTTGCTCGAGGGAAACCAAAAATTGGAAAGAAGGCCTGACTGAGGGGGTTTGAGGTTGTCTGCTGGGACAATAGCAGAGATTGTACCTTCAGGCTTGGGCATCACCTTTCTGCCCGACCACGTTTATCAGGGGCCCAGGGTGGTGTCCAGTGATTATTGGATTAGGAAGCAAGAGGAGAGGTGGGAATGGGCTCACATTCCCTTCCAACTAGAAGCATTAGAGGGTTATGGGTGAGCAAGAAATTGCATTTGAACAGTAGCATTCCTTGGCATAGCCTGGAACAAGAGCAGCTAAGATGGAAGGAAGGGATATTATTACATTTAAGGGTCAGTTCTTTTTCAGTCTAAATGTGTTTCAAAACAAATTATTCTTCAGGGACAATGAAAAGAAATCTAATGTGTTTTGGTTTGGCTCACCTCGTGGAACAATATTGTCTCCACTAAGGGCTCAAGAGGAAATGGATAAGGATACTTTCTGGTGTCTGAGCTCTTTTTTGTTTGTTTCCTCAGAGGCATAAAAAATGCTGAAAGCATTGGGATCTCTTCTTGGAGGACCAGAAAACATATTAACAATAAATGTTGTTGTTTTTCTTGTTGCTGTGGAGTTGGCTGCAACTCATGGCAACCTTCTGTTTAACGGAATGGCATTTGCCAGGTGATGAGCTTCAAGGTCTTGTTTGAGTCCCTTGTCGCAGCTGTTGTGTGGGGCCTTCCACCCCACGGTTTCAGCGTTGCATCAGCCGGGGCTCTGTGGTGGTCCATACGCTTTCGCTGGCTCATTTTGGAAACGGGACCTTTCTTCCTGGTTTGTCCGGAAGTCACCCTGCTGGTGTTCGAGATACCGGTGGCCTAGCTTCCAGTGTCACAGCACACAACAAATGTGTGTTGCTGTTCATAGATGCCCTCCATGTGGTTGCTGGAATATGGAAGCACTTTACTAGTGATTGGAGTTAAAGATACACATTCCGAATACAATGAACACTTCATCAATAGGACTTTCATACTTGGTATTTTATTTATTTATTTATTTAGATTGTGATTTGGGTGAAAATTTACAGAGCGAATTTACTTTCCATAGAGTAATTCACATACACTTTGTCTCATGACATTAACTACAGTTTCCCACAATGCAGCAACTCCCCTTCCACTTCCTCCCGATAGTTACCTCTTCCCTGTGTCCATCCCTCCAAGCACTCCTGCCCCCTGAGCTGTTTCCCTGTGCATACATAGCCCTTCCTTCTCCCATGATTGTTCTCTCCAAGGAGTGTATCTACCTCAGGTAAATGTTCAGCTCCTCTGCCTGTCTTTTGTTTGGCTGGAAGCCACAGGTGTGGGTTCAATTCCAGACCTGAAGGGCAGCTAGGGACCACAGTCTCAATGGTTCCACCAAGCTCTATCAGACTAGCACACCTGGTCCCCTCTTTTTTCCCCCAAATGATTTTGAGTTTTGTTCCACATTGTTCTACCTCTCTATCCAGGATCTCGTACATAGATCCTCCTCTGAGTGGCTGACAGTGGTAGCCGGGCACCATCTAGTTCTTCTGGTCTCATAGTCGTATAGGCTGTGGATCGCATGGCGTACCAGTCACCAGGACTAATCTTTTCCATGAATCTTTGGTTTTTCTTCATTCTTCTTTGTTCTGGATGAGGAGAGACCCATCGTTGCTTCTAGATGGCTGCTTGCAAGCTTTTAAGATCCCAGTCACTACTCGCCAAAGTAGGAGGTGGAACAGTGTTTTGTGTAGTATGTTATGCCAGTTGAGCTTGATGTCCCCTGCGACTATGGTCCTCAGCCCACAGGTCCAGTATAGTTGGTATTTTAAATGAATGTCCATACTCTTATTTACTCCTGATTTGCTCTTTTTCTTTAAGAAATTGCATTCTTTAAGAACAGTTTTAGGTTTATAGGGAAAATTACTCAGAAAGCAGAGATTTTTCACCACCCCTGCCCCTCTGGCATGCAGTATCTCCTATTATTAACATCTTGCATTTGTGTGATACTTTATCACAACTGGTAAACCAATATCGATCCACTGTTGTTACCTGAAGTCCACAGTTCAGCAGGGCTCACTCTTGGTGTTGCACTGCTCTGAGTTTTGACAGATGCGTCGTGTCACATGTCCACCATGACGATATCACACAGAATAGTTTCACTGCCCTTAAAATGCCCTGTGCTGCTTCTGTTCATCTGTCCTCCCTCTCTCCCCCTGCTAACTAGTCTATATGTGTCCATCAGTTCCCCTATCTGATGCTTATTGAGTGTTTGATAGTAAACACTAGGGCTATAGAGTGGAGTAATTCCTGGCTGTGCCTGTAGGGAGCTTCCAGTCTTGGGGAGGAATCCAGCATTAGACCCATTAGAGTTCAGCAGGGTCCACACTGATCTGGAATGGGGAAGGAGAGCTGCTTTCAGACCTGGCATGCAAATGAGGTAGATGATGCAGAGAGGTGGTAAGGCTTTAGCTGAGGCCCATGACTAATTCATCATGAAGTTGAAGATAAAATCTGATATTCCAATTTTAA